GCGGAAGAGTTTGTTTTTTTGTTTGTTTATTTGAACGCGCTAATCTCTGTAACTACAGGTTGATTTGAATAATTCTTTTTGTGTTGGATAGCGCATTTATCGCATCGTCATCATCATCGATAGTTCGTAACAGTCTATTTCTAGACCATGAGTCTCCTCTACACACTGTCTCATCCAATTCTCGACAAGTATTAAAGAAATGCTGCCTCCTTGGCTAAGTGGTCGCCGATACCCCGGTTCGATTCCCGGGTCGGTCAAAGTATTACTGTTTTTTTAAGAAATTCTCAGTAGTAGCACGGGGTCTAGAAATATGCCCGGTATATGGCAATAGGCTCACCCCCTATTACATGGGATTCAAAACATAAATAGTGAAAAGTGGGTGTAACATTGTACAGTGGCATTAAGTGCCGTAATGTGTGCCTTTACCTACTCCTTCGAAAATAAAAGGCGTGATGTTATAGATAGGAAATGAGAATTATCGCCATTTATCTACAGAAACAAATTAAATTTCTCAATATTCAAATATAGGTACGAGAAGAAAACTAAACTCATCACAAAATATTATAGTAAATAAAGACAACTATAGAGTTGCCTCAAGATGAAGCCTTCGGGCTTAAGAGGCGTGATGTTATATGTATTAAAGAGATCTAAATAATTCTATATAACATGACCTACCTGCGAAGAAAATTAATATTAGCTTAAGCTAACAAAGATTTAATTTTGATTAAATATGCCACCAACAGTCGTGGTTGTGTTACAGAGTTGATATGAAACTTTTCAGACAACCAACTAGTACCCTTTAAACCCTAAGTTAACCGCGTTACAAATACGACTTCAGCTTAATTTCCAAAATGACGGACTTACGAAATTAATTTAAATAGACGTGGTTTACCTCATAGCAAAATTTTATTGAAACTTAAAGAGAAAGTTTGAAATTTAATTCGAGATACAAGCAAAGAAAGAAATGTTAATAACTTTGTTGAAGAAACGAACATTTCTGATGAAAGAAATGTACCAAAAATATGTACTAAGTAATTTTTGGATTATTGTTTGGGATTACGTATCTAAACGCACGCTTTTGTTCTTTCTTTCTTTCCTATCATTGTCAGCAGAAACCACCGTTTGCCATCTTGTGTGATCGTTACTTACTTCTTTAGTTTCCATCACATTTATGCACCAGGTCATGCAAACTCGTCGGTTAAGGATACTTTACACCTGGCCTTTGCTCTGTTCTAACTAAAATTCTAAACGCATAAAGGGTTAGCTCAGACACATGTCAGTACTTTAATACATTTAACTTAATAAACGTACAATTATTATTATTTTTTTTATAAATGCAGGTGTACTGCACGATTAGCGCTGAGCTTGAACAAGCTGCTGTACGATTTCTACCAGGTTCTATTCTAGCATAGGACAACTCCTTGTATGACCTTTATGTATCGGTTCTGGGTGTGACGCATATCTACAGTATGTTTGTAAACACATCCAAATCACATGAGGAAATATGGCCACGAACACAATTTTTAAAGACGCATAACGAGAATATAGGGTAGCTGTCTAATTTTTATTTTAATGTCCGTCTGGACACGTATTTTTTATTTTCTTACGGAAACGAATAGTTTCGAAGATAAATTGATTTGAAATATCACATGATAATACTTTTGAGTGCAATTTTTATACTCCAAAATGACGTAGCTGCCTCCAACTCCTAAACTTTGATTCGTTTTATCTAAGTATTGTTTTCTTATACGACAAAATAAAAAATACGTGTCTAATATTTTTACATTACCTACCTGACGGACTAATTAGCTTTTTATTATTCTCCGTCATCATCCCTATTACAGTATTCTATATTCATTTTAAATCTTCACTGTTTTCTACAAACACACTCGAAAACCTAACGAAATCTGATGTTTGTAATTAAATTCGAAATACTCCACCCTATTACCTGAGTAAATGAATGTTCAAACTCTACGTCTAGACATCTCCCAGACCCCTAGTCGAAGGGGATCGAACAATGCACTCTGATATACTTAGGAAACCGTCTGGCAGTCTCGTCTAAACATAGACATATACGTACCATGTAGACAATCGCACTTAGGTTATTAAAACCCGCTAGCACAATATTACGTTAGACACATCACATAAGTGGCCTCTGATAACCAAAGGCCTCTTCTGGCACGGAGAAGGTTTGAGCATTAATCACCACGGTCGCTCAATGCGTGCATGAAATTATAAGCCCAGGTTTCCATACTGTTTCCCTTTATCCTTTGCCAGTAGAGTCTTAATAACCTTAGAAAGTAGATATAACTCGGAAAGTCTTATTGGTACTTGCTGTTGGTAGATTTCGACCGCATGATAGTCTTGAACCTCCAGCCACCATGACTTCCGACCAGCCATAATTAATATTATGTGCGATAAAGATTTTAGAACTCAAAGTCAAAGTTAAAGCATTTATTTCAATTAAACCATAATTTGGTACTTTTGAAACATCAACAAATATAAAATAAATAATAGTCTGTCACTCAATCCGTCAGTGAAGCTAGGTGCTCATTCCAAAATGTAGATTCGAATGGAGAAGAACGAGAAAGAAACTACATTCGTTACTCTTTTAAAAAAAGTATGTTCTACAATGTCTCTGATACATATTACAATACCGTACGTATGTATATGTGAGAATAATGCAGAGATACGCTTGACGCATTATACTAATTAAAAAACTTAGAAAAAAAAAATGTCTAACATGGTGCTCCCATAGATTCAAATTTACTTACATAGATGCTAGTGATATAATGGTACACGTTTTTTATGGAGCTTGTATCAAAACCGTATCTTTAGTCTAAAAAGGAAATAAATAAGTAGATAGACTATTGAGACTGACCGTCATTTTGGATCATATTAGTAAGTGTTTGTTTATACATAGGTCTTTTCGTAGAGGTATTAAAAGTATGTGATTGTTTATACGTCGGTCTGTCGGTCGATTAGTCGTACAAGTGTGACTGTCGAGTCAAGAGCCGTGGCCTAAATCTATTATATTTTGTTTCGGGTTTTTGCTCTAAGTTGTGTTGAGTTTGGGATCGCCCCTTACAAAATTGGACTCGTAATTCGTAAAAGTCGGTGTTAAATTCGGGAATTAAAAGGTAATGCTGTTGTGTCAAGGGTTCGTTCGATTGGCTGGTTAAAGCGATATGATTGGGTTTCAAAGTCATATCATTTATTCCAATTAGTGCAACGAGGGACTTTAGAAAGATGAACAATAACAGTTGGTGTGTCTGTTGTTTGGTCCTTAGTAATTGTTTGTGTTGTGTTACTCATTGTTTTGTGTTGTCCTGTGAAATTCCTTCGGAGTATTTTTTTCTTTTGCTTCTTGGGTAAGTCAAGATTTTAGACTTAGATATTCAGTATAATTTTGAACGACACGTAATGAGTTACATAATCGTATGTAATCAGCAGCTGTAGCCAAATGCCATTTAGCGCTTGTCTACTTGTAGAATAGAAAACCAAATTATATGGAATTGACGTAAATTTTGACACTTGTCAGTGCCATCCACATATATTTTGATTTCAACTCTCACTGTAGACAAGCGCTAAATGGCATTTGGCTACAGCTGCAGTGGTCTAGCTTCATAATTAATGCAATAAATAACTTACTAAAATTTAATGAGGGGTAATAATTGCGTACTATTTTACATATAACTATCGGCTTATAATAACCATTGTTGGAGGTTTTTAAATACTGTCACATTCTTAAGAAAACAAGAAGTAAAACGGACACTAGGTACAAATTTATATCTAAGCCTTAGCCTACTAACTAACCTAACATATTCAAGCGCATTAGAACCAATATTGATCGAATCGCAATTAGACATAATTATAGCTTCAAAACCAATTAGCTGCACTTCCATTAGTCTATGAATAATATAGAGACTTTCAGTCATCAATATTTCAGGCCTTTTAGGCGGTTAACATTGAAACGTATTACAAGTTCATTAATTAAACGTAGGGACCTTTATTAATTGTGCACATTTTCTATAATCTGTTTATATTTTCATGACTTTTCCTAGGGGGAAAAATCAACCAATGTCTTTTTCCACCTTGAGTGAGGCTAGAATGAGTCTCAGACTTTGATTGACTAAAAACCACCCCGGTCCTAGTCCGGCCTCGAGCCGGAGCCCCGGTAACCCAGTTAGGTTGCCTGCAGCTTCAGGTTGGGCATCAGCCCTATCTGTGAAGGTCTGATAGCTCTTTGAGGCCCGCACAGAACGCCTACGCCATTATTATCATTGTTTTGATAGTTGATATATTTTCTTTCTGTAGTTAAAATAAATGAATTTGAATTTGACTTTGACTTCGTGTATTTTAAGCTTTTCATGTAACTGCTAATATAATGTGTGGTTAAACCATTTGATTTTGTGCAATGTGCTACGCGTTCAATTCCACCACGAAATGAATATACCGCTAATTTTGTGCTACTGCTAAAAAAAATACATTTCTAGAAGTTCAACAACAAATTATTAACTTACATGATATAAAACCTTGTTAATTTAAAGCTTGCAATGCAACCAACAGCATAATCAACAATATTGCAAAAACAGCAAAGAGCAGTTTACCTAGTGGAAAGTCATGACGTCATCTGAATTTCACTATTTCATGATAATGGTGGTGAAACAGTTAATATTTGCTCTGGACCTCATTATTTTTGATAAGGCAGGTTTTTGTTTGCACCCTGTACCTCGTTGACGTGCAATTTCATTTGTTTACAGTGAAGGTATCTGTTTCATTGCAAAACCTTATATTTACTCTGTGGAGTGGCAGGTAAATAATTATGTAATCGATTCTCTCGTTGATAAAATGTGAATGCTGGGCTAAGCGTTTTATGTGCACCATTAAAAACAATGAATTTAAACCTTATTCAAAGTAGATATAAAGTTACAATTCTTAACACACGTGATATGAAGACGTGATTTCTTTGTTGCAGATTAATTCTTCTATTTTTCACAATGGTGCTCCCAAACAAAGCAAGTCGCGCGCTCAGCGGCCTGTTGCTTGCACCAAAGAAGCGGATTGCAGCGTGTCTGGCGGTATTACTCGTTGGGGTCTTCACCTACATCGTGATCTCCTCCGCTTCCTGTAAGTCATAGATATATAGTTATTATGGATATAAGGGAATACGAGCAGACAGGTCACTTGATGGTAAGCTACCCTTGGATACCTAACACGTCACAAGTGCGTTGACCGTTAGATCTTAAATAAATATACAACAACACACTTTGTATAAACAGCGTTGTCAAGAAGAGAGGAAATACAATATGACTATTGCCCGTCTGTTACCTAACAGGACCATTTATTATATTTTAAAATTATAAATATTGTAATAATTGCTGTAAAATTACTTATACCCACCTATTATCTACTACTATAACTTCATTAGTTGATAGCAGTATCGCAGTCAGAATAGTAAAAAGTCTTCAGTATCATCAGAATCAGTGTCATCATTGTCAGTCATAACTCATAGGACATCCACGTACTGAATATAGACCTTTCCCAATCTTAATATATATATATATAATTCTCCTGTGAGTGTGTATGTCACTGAACTTTTCTCAAACGACTGGACCGATTTTGATGAAACTTTTTGTGTGTGTTCAAGGGGATCTAGGAATGGTTTAGATTCACAAATCAGCCCGACAGATGACGCTGCAGTCGGTTTCTAGGTTATTTATCTATACCTATTATTACAGGACAACGTCTGTCGGGTCCACTAGTCTAATATATATAATTCTCGTGTCACAGTTTTCGTTGCCATACTCTTCGAAACGGCTTGATCGATTTTGATGAAACTTTTTGTGCTTATCCGGTATCTAAGAGAATCAGCCAACATCTAATGTTTATCCCCCTAAATGTTAGGGGTAGTCCACCTCTAATTTTTTTCGAGATTGCGCGTACCAAGTCGCGAACTTCTAGATATTTACAAAGGCCTCTACCTTTTGATTCCGAGTCATGTTATTGAAATGACCGTACGACGCAGTGACAACGGTGGATCCACTCCACATCATCTAACCGCCATGCAGTCAATTTGCCGCGTATAATTAGGTCCTTGTCATGAGCATTTCGATGCAGCCGTATCCGTAACGAAATTATAGTTTAGCATTTCTCATATTCCAGTTACGACGATTTTTGCTTCGTCTACATTATCTATGTTATTGGGTAAGACATTTTTTTATGGTATAATCCGGTGAATGAGCAGACGGATCACCAGATGGTAAGCAATCGACGTCAAAGTCAAAGTCAAAAGTTACCAGGCTTTTGGGGATTAGAAGTTTGAGGATCGTTGGGGATTCAGGGATTGGGGAGATTGGGGAGGGTAATTGGGCCTCCAGTAACCTCACTCACACGACGAAACACAACGCAAGCGTTGCTTTACGTCAGTTTTCTGTAAGGCCGTGGTATCACTCCGGTCGAGCCGGCCTATTCGTGCCGAAGCATGGCTCTTCCACACTTGAAATTCCTTCCACTTCCCACAAATGATTTAAGTGCCTTTATTTAGACAAACGCAAAAATGTTTTAAGCTCGACCAATTTAGTGCGAAGTATATGTGTTAAATTCTTATTTAAGTTACTGAACACAGTAATAATTAATTATTGACATCCTATAAAAATATTACAATAATTGTTATATTTTTTTGCCTGACTGACCGCTGACCTCAATCAAAGTTGTCATTGAAAAAATATCTTATTCAAAATTCGAACACCTCCAAAAACGAAAAACGATCTTTGCGGCCAAAAGATCGTTTTAAAAAGAAAAACAGACAATTTCCCCTCTTTTTTTAAAAAAAGACACGTGTCCATATCCCGTCATTGACAAATCCGAGTTGAATTGAAAATGAGCCTTATAAATATGGATGTTCAGTTGAATCTGGAACAACAGTTATGTATGTATGTGCAATTTTATATACATTCGTAAACTACGCAATATCTTCTTGTCCAATATATCACCGTGGCTCAAGACTTAGTCATTGGGTTAGTCCTACGTTCAGTATTTTGTGAGATTTTGGTTCTCATACCTAATTGTGAATCTGTACACCTGGGTGGGAAGCAAGTCAGCAAGAGTCTGACAATGCCCTTCATCTTTTCTGGACCTACCATACCCCTCGTATTCATGAAGATTTTCCAGTTTAAGTTAAAACATGCTTTTGTTCGGCAATGGACTTCTTAACTAAAATCACAAGCGTCAACGCCAGCCAGTGATCTGCAACCCGCAACCGCGCACGCTGCTCATGAGGAAGAACCCCTCTGTGGTCCGAAACTAGTAGAGCTTTTCTCAGTATATTCACGTGACTAACCCGCGATTTTTAGGTAATTTATTATGTGTCGCGATAGTTATTATAAAAAATAGACTTCTTGTTTTTGATGACGATTTAATAAAATCTTTGTTACTGATTTCATTGTAATTAGACACAATTGAGCAATATAAATTGCAAAATAATCAAGTCTAAACTAGCAATCACCATGAAAAAGTCAATAACTCTTTGCACAACCCGACCATTAAACACAGGACCTTGTTAGAAAACACGAGAAAAAACCTCTTTAATATGTGCATTTTACCACAAAATGCATGGTCTTTGTGCAGAAATTATAGAGGATTTTTTAGCCTTGTTGGAACGCAAAGCGGAACGAGGAGGGTGGCTCCATGATAATGACGGGCTGTTCATAATTACACCACAAACTATATGGGTAGAGTATACTAGACTACTATACAATAATTATTGGGTACTAATTAGACCGTACTTTTTTATTGCAAATTGAAAAATCACTAAATCAGTTGCAGTTTTTTGTTATTTTAATTTGAAATTCTAAGGGCCGATTTTTCAATGCTCAGGTACATTTTTACTGAGAAATAAGTTTGAATTTTTGACAATTCTTCCATACTAACAACTGTCAACTGTCAATTTTATTCCGCAGTTAAGAATTAACTGATGATTGAAAAATCGACCCTAAGACTATGACTACAATAAGTTCGATTTTCGCATGCAACAGTTTGGGTGATACATTTCGTTGTGCCCATTGCGATGTGCATTTGAAAGTACATTGTGTTTAAATACCTTTAACTGATCTTATAATGAGAAAATCAAAGTTATACTCAAAGCATTCATTTCAATTGATCCACTTTAGGCACTTTTGAAATTAAAAAAACTTGATACGTCAAAAAATTATAAAAGGGATGATGACAGGGTATGAAAATTAAAAATCTAATTAGTCCGTCAGTTAGGTAATGAAAAAATATTAAACATGCATTTTTTTATTTGAATGTATAATAAAATTATACTTAGTTAAGGAGTGAGGGCTAAAACATCATTTCTACGTATAAAATGTACATAGAAGTGACGTCACGCAACATTGCAAATTAATATATCGTAGAAAATATTCGTTTCAGTAAAAAAATGAAAAATACGTGTCTAATGATTTAAAATAATCTACCAGAATAATCGAGCATTAATATAAAAATTAGTCATCTACTCTATTGTAAGAAATGAAAAACTCGAAATAAATTTTAGTATCTAAAGATAAACTTAAAAATAACTACATATAAGAATGGTAGAGTAAGAGGTTATACAGATATTTCTGTCCATGTGGATAATATGGATCAAAAGTCAGGCTACTGACAATACTACAATCTAGATTACAGATAACAAAGCCATGGTCTGAACTATATCATTGTTAAAATGCTAAAATTGCACTTAAGGTTTCTTCTGCATACAAAAACCTCTTTGAAAATATCTCCCATTTACATGAAACTTATTGTTCGGAATGCAACTTTGTTGCAAAGGAACAAAGAATATTTTTCAATGATACATTCTGTTTTTTTAACTTCACGACCTGACCTGACTGACTAATTGCGTCTTACACGATTCTTCTCAACAATAAAGTATTATCAATGAGTTCTTTTCTATCAGGGTGATTAAGAAATATATTCATATAGTTTGTAAAGAAAAGAAAATCTATAAGTACATAAAACTTTTATGATTGTATCATAACATAACATCACGCCTTTTATCCCCGAAGAGATAGGCAGAAGTGCACATTACGGCACTTGATGCCATTGTACAATGTATCACCCACTTTTCACTTTCATTAGTTATGTTATGAGTCCCATGTAATAGGGGGTGAGCCTATTGCTATATACCGGGCACAATTCCAGACTCCGTGATATTACTGAGATTTTTTTTAAAACCCAGTAATACTTTGCCCGACACGAGAATCGAACTCGAAATCCCTTACCGCACTTGCGACCACTCGGCCAACGAGGCAGTCGTTGCAAAAGTTACTAAACCTTAAAATTTCGCGAACTAATATAAAATTATTTTAAATAAAATATCAATACTATCGTTTGTTTTGAAACAACCAAACTATTGCAAGATTCAAATGCTAAAAGCTATATTAACTTGTAGTTCTTAACAGTCAAATTAGTCCAATATAAGTTCTAGACATTTGAATTATTAACTCATCGAGTACCGGTTTTATAGACACAATTAAAGAACAATAGGTCGCGGTCACCGGTGACCGCTTGGTGTTTGACAGTTTAAATAATCCATTCCTACCGTGCATATACCTCTATAATATAATTCGAGCGTCGATACGTTTCACCAGACGTTGCAATATACCACGTTTTAAAACTCGACGTCGACGACTAATTGGAAGTGCATTACTTATGGATGGACTGGAATATGCGTTTTCAGTGTTGTTTTAAGTGGTGATCCATTCTGACCAGTCCTTTGAATGTAGGGTTGAATTATTTACAATATACTGATATACTATTGTGTAAATTAATTTTATTTAAGATATTTTAAGTCGCGCTTTAGTATACTTTAGTTACGACAGCATAACATAACATCACGCCTTTTATCCCCGAAGGGGTAGGCTGAGGTGCACATCACGCTACTGTACAATGTAACACCCATTTTTTACTATTTATGTTATGAGTCCCATGTAATAGGGGGTGAGCTTATTGCCATATATACCGGGCACAGTTCCAGACTCCGTACTACTACTGAGATTTTTTTTAAAAACCCAGTAATACCTTGCTCGAACTCGAGATCCCTTACCGCACTTGCGACCACTCGGCCAACGAGG